TCCTCTGTCATCCCCTTCTCTTCCTTCCCCCAATCCCTCCCAGCATCAGGGTCTTTTTCAATGAATCAACTCTTCACATCAGGTGGCCAAAATATTGGAGTTTCAGCTTCAGCATCAGTCCTTCCAGTGAACACCCAGGACTGATCTCCTTTACGATGGACTGGTTGGATCTCCTTGCAGTCCAAGGGACTCTCAAGAGTCTTCTCCAACACCACAGTTCAAAAGAATCAATTTTTCGGTGCTCAGCTTTCTTCATAGTCCAACTCTCACATCCATACATGACCATTGGAAGAACCATAGCCTTGACCAGATGGACCTTTGTTGGCAAAGTCATGTCTCTGCTTTTTAATATGCTGTCTAGGTTGGTCATAACTTTCCTTCCAAGGAGTAAGCATCTTTTAATTTCATGGCTGCAGTCACCATCTGCAGTGATTTTTAGATATGTCTAAAGAAATTAGGGAACAAAAAAAATATTTATGAATAAACTGGGTGGCAGTGTGGAACATTGGAAAAAAGGGCCCTCTCTCCCTCTCTGCTACTTTGAGTGTGTTAAAGCAACTGAGATTTGGAGGTTAATATCGTAGCCTACCTTAACTAGTAAAGCAATTGGTATTGAGTCAGGTGCTGTATAACAAATATTCTAAAAGTGTGGTTTTCACTTAGTGGTTAGGCAGTACCAGCAAAGACACTGATTTTGGAGGCTGGAAAGATAAGAGTGCTGTTAAATAGTGGCAGTGAATTTAGTAAAACTTGTCACCTTTTATAAATTGCAAGGTTGAGCAAATGTCTGATGAACCAGTGTTCTTAAGGAAGAGGTTGGAAAACACAGTATTATAGTATGTGCTCTTATTATTAGCTGTATTGACACTGTATTATGAGAAAGATAAGTTTAGGAAGGAATTGGCTGTTTCATAAGTAGAAGTGGAAGGTAATATGGAAATTCTAGGAATTATAGGTCTTGTAATGTTCAAAAAATCACCTGCTTCTAATTTTGATGAGGTCTGTTTTTTTGTTTTTCTTTTACTCCTTGTATTTTAGGAGTTATATTAAAGAATCCATTCCTCAATCCAAGGTCATTAAGATCTACTATCTTTTCTCCTAAGAAAGTTGTATCATTTTGGCTCTTACACTTGGGTCTCTGATCCGTTTTGGGTTAATGTTTTTTACATGGTTAGTGTTTTTTACATGGTGTGAGATAAGGGTCAGCTTTCATTCTATTTCCTCTGTTGAATGGTCTTGGCATCTTTGTCAAAATCACCTGACTGGAGACATACAAAATGGCTTTATTTTTGGACTCTCGGTTCTGTTCCATTAATCTGTGTATCAGTTCTTATGCCAGTACTACACTGTCTTGATCACCCTTAACTTTGGAGAGTTAACTGCTTTTAGACCTAAGAAATTATGAGATAAAATTGAAAAAATGTTTAAGGGATAAAAGTCTATTAAATATTAAAGCTCATCTTTGTGGCAAAGATCAGACTTAAAATGATAAATTTTTTTAATCACAACTATTGATAAAAGTTGCCAGTGGATTAAGGTTTTTTGGGGCGAGGATCATTTTAAATTATACCTAGTGAACCTATCCATTTGGATAAAATGTCTCAGAGTAAAGATCTAACTAAAGGTAGTAGTCCCCTCATAGAAGCTTGACAACCTCAAAGTAACCTATTTTTAAACTGAGTTTGGGGGAAGAGGTGGGAGGAAGGGGGAGAGAGAGAGGAGTTCAGGGTAAAGAAGTAGTCTTAAAGAGTTAAGAGTGTGGTAATGGCACATGTAACTGACTGGAATCAAATGGATAAGAAACTTTTGAGAGAGTTATCAGCAAAAGAACATTAAGAATGATGGATTAAAACCGCTTGTGATTGTTTAAATCTTAGAATAGCTGTGAGATCTCCCAGTCTTCTAAGATGAAGAAGCAGACAATGAGAGTTGCACAGAGAGAGTTTAATGTTTAAACACCTTAAAGGCCTTGGAAACAGCAAAACAGTATTGCTTAAGTGGCAGTATATTTGGCTCATATTTGAAATATTGGGACCTTATTTGTTTAGTCAAGAATAATTATTGCATACAGTCCAGCAGTTCCCCTCTAGCTATATACCCAAGAGAAATGAAGACATATGTCCAAGCAAAAACCTGCATGCAAACATTTATAGCCATTTTATTCATAATTGCCCAAACAGGGAACAACTCAAACATCCATCAAGTGGTGAATGGATAAACAAATTATGGTATATCCATGTAATTGAGTCTTTCTTAGCAATTAAAGGCAATGCACTGCTGATAACAGCAACAACATGGATGCTGAGTGAAAGAAGATAGACTGAAAAATGTATATACTGTACAATTTCATTTATTTGACATTCTGAAAAAGGTAAAACTATAGGGACAGAAATTGAATTAGTGGTTGTGTGGGACTTGGGAAAGGAATTAACTACAACGAGGCTCAAGGGAACTTTTTGGGATGATGGAAATGTTCTTTATCTTGGTTGTGGTGATGGTTACATGACATATAATTTTGTAAAATTTATAGAAATGTACACCAAAAAGGTATATTTTACCATATGTAAATTTTATTTCAGTAAGTCTAAAAAAAATAATAATGAACACTATTAGTGCCAGAAATAAATTAGATCAAAATAAATTTTGAACAAATTAATGTATTGGTGATATACTGGGATGAGTAAACAGACTAGGTTCTGCTCCCAAGGAGTTAATGCCTAGTGTATTAAAAAACATATTTTTAATATGTTTTTGAAATTAAAATTTTTTTCCATAAAAATATCTTTATATCATCATTTGATATATACATTTCTGTGTGTGTATATATAATATATAACATGAAACTACATATCCATATTGTACATAATGCATTCTGCTATTTTATGGAAGATAGTGTTTAACTTACCAAAATTCCAAAATTTAAGTTACCATTAAGTACAGTTTTTATCCAGTAAATAAAAAAGATTGAATTGATGTTAACAACTGCTAATCTCCGGTTTCTGTTGAAACAAGTGAGAGACTGATTTTACAAGCATGAAAATAAATCTGTTGTTTTTCTTTCACTAAATTTTCCTAAAGTGCAAAGTGGTGATGACACCTCTGCTTACCTAGATCAGGTGGCCATTTTTTTTAATGCTAGTGTTTGAACAGATGGCTTTTGCCATGTGAAACATGGCACTTGATGGTTGGAAATTACTAAAGATGGGAGGTAATTCTGTGAAGAGACAAATCTGTTTCAGCTTGGAACAGTGATGATTGAATTAAATTATTGTAGTCAGACAGTATTTATTGTAATAGGTCTTCAACATCCAGGGTTACTCCCCCTGTGTGAATATGGTAGGGAAACCAGACCTCAGTTTCCTGATAGTATAGCGTGCCTATCCTTCAGTCTGCTGGAAGCAAGGTTTACCAAACAAGTTATTTTAATCACATTACACACAAATCTTACAAGAAGTTTACCAAAAATAATCTGAATACTGTGGAAATTATCTTTCCTGGAAATACACTCTGCTAAAGTAGTGCAAAGTACTAAAGTAGTACTAAAGAACTCTGCTAAAGTAGTAGCACTCTGCTAAACCTGAGGGAGACAGATAACTGTTAAATGTCTTTTGGTCCTTATGAATGTGTATACGGTAGGTGGGCAGGGAGAAATGGGAGATGTAGAAAAATGTAAGGAAATGGCAAATACTGATTTAAAATAAGAATGATTTAAAGAGATCACTTAATTTTGTATAAAATTTGGAAACTGAGACTTCCTTGGTGGTCCAGTGGCTAAGACTCCATGCTCCCAATGCAGGGAATCAGGCTTGGATCCCTGGTGGAGGAATTAGATCCCTCATGTGCTGCATGTCGCGCCTAAGACCCGGCACAGCCAAATAAATAAAGTTTGGAAGCATTTTCATGTCATATATGAGAATTATTCTTTGGTCTCTAATTTTAAGATATTTTGAAATCCTTCCCCCCGCTTTCCAGAGCAGTTTCTAGTTCTTTAAGAGGCTATATTTAATATCTATCTTAAGTATATCTTTGTGTTTAGCATTGAACAAAAAGTATAACTATTAGGTGGCTGTAGGTGGCATCCGATAGAAAGTAATTTTGTTTGTATGTTCTCTACTTTGGCTAGGAGTCCTCAGAACATATGGAGGGTTTTTGTGTTTTTTAAATAGCAATGATAGATACTGAAGTGGCTGGTTTTTAGAAATATGAATACATGTGTTGGGGATGATCTAGAAAATTGGTCATGGGTAGACAGACTATTTCTGTAAAGAGCCAGATAGTAAATATTTTTAGGTTTGTGGTCTTTGTCACAACTACAACTTGGCTGTTGTAGTGTGAAAGCAGCCATGGACAGTGTGTACATAAAGGGTGTGGGTGGCTAAGCCTGTGGGCCATAGTTTGCAGACTCCCATAAACATTATGTGTTTAAGCCAAAAACTTCGTACAAATGTATTTTAGATATATTTATTTATACATTTAACAAATATTTAGTGCCAATTTAAGAACTTATGTGCCAGGTACTATGCCAAGGACTAGGCATAGCGCCGTGAACAAGGCAGAAGTATGATTGCTACCATCATGGAGTTCATAATATAGTGGGGAAAAACACCCTGATCAAGGTTTTACGTTTTTAAATGTGTGAGACAAACAATAACATTGAGGGACTTTACAATATAAAGCCCTGTGGTGAATCATTTTGCAAAATAGATGATTCCTGTGTGAAGCCAATATTACTCATTGTGATTTCAATTCATTAAAATTTGTGCTACATTTTCCTACAAAAAATTTGGCACTTTAGTGTTTCTTCTCAAAGACAAAATTATTTGACCAAAGCACTTTTCTTGTTTGTGACACTCACTCAGAGTAAATTAACGTGTATAATTAGAATTATAGCAAAGTCTACTTGATAGTTTTATATATTTTCCTTTCAGATGTTGAATTTTATTATGTCTCAGTTTAGTACCATCTACTGTTAATATATGATGTTTATTTTTTATTTGTAGACGTCCATTGTCTGAAGGGACAGTTCATTTACATTCAGAAACTAAGGTATGAATTTAAACTTTTTGTGAATGTGATTACAGTCTGTAGAATTTAGGTTGGCTTTAGTGTTTTTCTTATACAAAACAGTATGACTCTATAGAAATAGAATATTAGCCTTGATATTTAAAAGATATGTGTTTATGAAATATTGCTCATAAAATAAATTGAATCCTTTTTTGTCTCATAATTTCACTGAACAGTTTGAAGATACATTAATTTTTAGTTTTCTCTCTGAAGCCCCAATTTATTAAATGGAATATCTAAAAAAGAAAAGAATTTATAAACAGTGAAGGTGATTTGGGAGGTTTATCCATTTGTTTAAATATTTATAGTGTGTAGAGATCACTATTCCAGGTGCTAGGCATACTGGGATGTACAGATTCCATCCATGGGGATCTTAGACCCAGGAAATAGTATACGTGGAGACATGTCTGAACAAGAATTGAGGAGAATTAAATTCTGTAAATCAGAACATCCAGTTGAACATTCTGCTAACTACCTAAATATCTTCAGATCTTTGGGACTCATTTTCTTATCTTTAAATCTCTTCTAGTAATAACTAGGTCTTTTCTAGCTATACAGTTCTGGATTCCTTAAAATACAGTTTGATTAATTCTGTGAAAATAGGAATTCTGTGTAGCAAACTAGTGATTCTGTGTGTTATGTAATTGCCTTCCTAGGCAACTGATGAGAATGTAATTAATTAATCAGTCATTTAAATTCTTTTCCTTTAGCCGAAGACCAAAAATGTTGATCCCATAAACAAAGTTCAAAACAAACTACACTCTGCAAGTAAAGGAAGGAAATCAAATTCAAGGTATTGTACAGTTTTTTAAAATATTACTTTCTTTTTTTTAGTTTCATAATTTACCATATCATTGTTCTTAACTAGTAAGTTTTGGTTCTCTGTATCTTTTTATACTCCAAAAGATACAAAATTACACTCTGTGTTTTTCTCCACATTTGGTAATTTAAAGCATCTTCTAATCAGAAATATCTGGTTAGATAAGCAAAAATGCCACATGTCAAAAATTTTAACTGTTATTTTTAGCTGGTTAGTTTCTTAGATGAGAAACTAGAACCTATATGTCTTTTTCTGCCTAGGTCTCTCAAATAGACCGAATAGTCTTACATTTTTTGAACACCATGCATTATTGTGTATATTGAGACACAGAATGATTCTGGCATGCTCTCAATAAAACTACAGTATAGTTATAATTTACATTCTATTGTTTTGGGTGAAAAAAAATTTCAAGACTATCTTTAGTACTTTAAGCACTAAAAGGAGACCCAAGAGATTCTTTAGTAGACCTTCTTGAAAAGGAGTCTCACACCTGCAGTGGATTATACCAACCAGCTTCTAATTCACAGTAAAGTATTAAATTTATATGTCTATTGCTTACTTAAACTGATAATTACATTATAATTCTGGAAAAATCTTTGTTAATCCTTGTGTCTTTTTGTTGTTCAGTCGCTAAGTCGTGTCTGACTGCAGTCCCATGAATTGCAGCTTGCCAGGCTTCCCTGTCATTCACTATCTCCCAGAATTTGCTCAAACTCATGTCCATCGAGTCAGTAATGCCATCCAACCATCTCATCTTCTGTCGCCCCCTTCTTGCCTTCAATCTTTCCTAGCATTAGGGTCCTTTCCAATGAGTTGACTCTTTACATCAGGTGGCCAAAGTATTGGAGCTTCAGCTTCAGCTTCAGCATCAGTCATTTCAATGAATATTCAGGGTTGATTTAGGGTTGACTGGTTTGATCTCCTTGATGTCCAAGGGACTCTTCAAGAGTCTTCTCCAGCACCACAGTTTGAAAGCATCAATTCTTTGGTGCTCACTCAGGCTTCTTTATGGTTCAACTCTCACATCCATACATGACCACTGGAAGAAACATAGCTTTGACTAATGTCTTTGCTTTTTAATATGCTGTATAGGTATGTCATAGCTTTTCTTCCAAGGAGCAAGCATCTTTTCATTTCATGGCTGCCGTCACTGTCTGCAGTGATTTTGGAGCCCAGTAAAATGAAATCTGATACTGTTTCCACTTTTTCCCCATCTATTTGCCATGAAGTGATTGGACCTGATGTCATGATCTTAGTTTTTTGAATGTTGAGTTTTAAGCCAGCTTTTTCACTCTCCTCTTTCACCTTCACCAAGAAAGCCAAGTGAAGTTTTTGTTTTTTGAATACAAGAGACCAGAAACACAGGGTGAAAAGATAAGGAAGAAAAAAATCTAAAATTGATAGAAGAAAAGAGAACATATGCTGCATACATAAGTACATACATAACTGGAAAGGGTTATCTTATTTTCAGACTTCAAGTTTACATTTTAAATAAAAGGTTCTTTTCCCAAAAGAATTGTAAAGCCTTTGCTTATGTGTTAAAAGTGAGTTAGGCTTTAAAGTTAAAAGTAAGGCTTTCAGAAAAAGACTAAATGAATTAGTGCTGGCCCATTCCTCAATGCCTTTGATAGTGACTTTTATTTCATATTTCTCCCCTTACTTAAAATTTTAAAAAAAAAACACTTTTTGGTAGATTTTTGGTCCTGCTTATAATGTTTCTTTAGGTGGAAAATATGTGGAGTTTGAGCTAAGAACTCTTTACTTTGCAATTGTTTCTCAAAAGATGTTCTTCAGTGTTTGCAGACTTATGGCTAGAGTGATATCAAATTGTACAGTTCTTTTCCAGCAGCATGTAAAATTAAAAGCCATAGTCTGGATTTGACCTGGGAGGCCAAGTTCAGTACTCTTAGTTTTGGTGTTCAGTTGAGAGTGCTGACCTAAAACAAATAATTCTTTAGCAAAAAATATGTTTGTTTGGGATCAGCAGAGAATTGCACTTTGGGATCTGTCACCATGGCGAGCCACATGCAAGTCTCTGCACAGCAAAGCAAGGGTAACTCTTAGGGGGAAAAAGGAAGCTGGGAGGGCTGTAGGGAACAAAGGCTTTCATCAGCTGAGCTGTAGCTGGAAAGGAAGAGGAGTCTTTCTTTATACTCTTGGGCTTTGCTGTTGTCGTGTGGTGTGAGAGTTCCCCCTCCTGGTCTCCTGACTGTTTAATTGAGGTTTCTGTTTATTTTTTTACATTGTCAATGTCTTATAACTGGCATCATAAAGCCTTCTCCAGCTCTGTGATTGTCATAAAGATTAAAAGTCTACTAAATCTCTTGTATAGTCCTTGAAAGTATCAATTGTAGATATCATGATAAACTTAAAATTTATAATAATAATTTTGATCTGCTTTTTTTACTTGAATAAAGGTCATATCTGGGAATCATATCTACTTTTTATATTACACACACACACACACACACACATATATGTATTTCTTTTTCTAGTGTAAAATTGAAATACTGTCATGTGCAGACTGCCAATGATGTTGCCATTCCAGAGGATTTCTCAGACTTTTCTCTTGCAAAAACAATTAGCAAGATTGAAGGGCAACTAGAGGAAGAAGGCTTACCTGATTATATAAATGATGATATTTTTTCTGGTGTTAGTGAAGATATTGGAACAGGTAGGTTTTTTTGTTTATTCTTCTATCACAATTGCTTAAAAAACAACATTGAGAACAATTTTTCTTGTATTTAGAAAATGTATTATGATGTTTTGAATTTGTTTGATAGATGAAATAAAATTGCTTTTGAGTCAGTAATTGTAAAAAATGGATGATGGGTAATCAGAGTTTCACTGAACCAGTCTCACTACTTTTATATATGTTTGATATTTTCCATTATAATAGTTTCATTGACCTTTTTTCAACTAAAGTTATATGCCCCATAGCTTATTATTAAAACATTGAAATATTTTTTTAAATGTTTCTTTTAATTCATTTGATGTTATTGAATTCTCTTTATTGTGTATTAAATCAAAATATGTTACAGGATAAATGAATTATTGATTTAGCATCAGGTAAAATAATGAATTTTCTAATGAATATTATTTTCTTTCTTATAAACTCATTCTCTGCATACCACTAGAAAAATACTTAGTCTAAGTCATCAAAAACATTATGTTAGTTACCAGTAGTGCCTCTAAAATTGTTAAATTTATGAGGAGCCACCTATTCTATTGTACATAAAAAACAATACAGTTGAGTTTATATGAACATAGTTAATGTTGAATTGTAATTAACCAGGTTCAAGCAAACTGCTTAGTCCCTCTGTAATAGCAATGTCTTCACTTGAAAATTTAGCAGTTTATATTAATATTAGATGATCATGAAGTTTTGCTTAATATTCTGATTCAATGAAAATCTCATTGATTTACATGTGTAATGATTATTATGCAGCTGCTGCTAGTTAGTCATAAATGAGGAATAATCCATTTATGCATTTGTTACGTTTACTGACCTATCCAAGCTTTCTGAGGCTATTCGTTAAGAGTGAAGGCAAGTGAAAGAAAGAATTACCTTCATGCCTCAAGATGCTTTCAAGGACGCAGTGGTCAGATATTGGCTGCTCCTCAGTTAATAGTCACTCGTGGTCTAGTTAGAGAGTTCCTCTGCCCAGGTGTAAGAACCGACACAGCCCACCTTCAAGTGCTGCTTTGTTTCTTATTGCTTAATGACCTGTCTGCCACTTTTGCATCCTCCTCTTTTCAGTCTTTGACCAAGGTGTCTCCCCTTTTAGGGAGTTCTTGCCCATTCCACATGATTGCCTAGAACGGCTGAGTTATGTGCGGAAGGAAGCAATAAAAAAGTAGTTTAGTAGCACAAAACTTTGTAAGACTGCTTTGTAAGTCTAAAGTTGTGTGAATGTACAAAATGTAAGTAAGTGTACAAAGCACTGCTTTATAAGACTAAAGTTGGAGCGGGATGAGAGGGGAGGTTAATGCTGCGTACCTCCAGAGACAGCACTCAGCTCCTTGATGATACTGCTGAGGTTAGAGCTGGGGAGAGAAAGAGATGGATTGTTTCCCTTCTGTCCTCTGCTAAACTGGAGGCTAGAAGGAGAGTTGAGACTGGAGAAATCTAGGTATGGCTAGAGCCAAACATAGTTCATCAGCTCCATGTAATGCTGGGGACACTTTATAGGAAGAGCTTTGAAGCAGGAAGTATGTGTGGAGATGTGTGTGCTGTGGAGTTTGTCCTAATGATCTTTCAGAGACTGAATATTAAGATTGTTTACTTAAGATAAGCTTTATGAAGGCAAAGCTTGTCTTACAATATCTGTATTATGCCTGGAATGTAGTAGAGACTTAATGTGTATCTTTTTAATTACTGATTGGATGAATTATGAGTGAGTTCCAAGTTCAGTTTTCACTTTATGTATTTTTATATGCCTAAAAACTGCAAAGGTTTACCGATATTATTGAATAAAGAACTTTTGCTAGCAATGAAACACTAAAAGTAGATCTTAATTAAGGATTTGTGGGGAAAAAAGCTTCAGCAGTAAGGTATTTGTGTACTTTTCTGCTTCTCAGACACATACACTACATGTTAACTTAGGTGAAATTGGGATGTGCGTTGCAGTTGGTGGCATTTTATGATTGCAGTAGTTGGGACTGAAGTTGAGTTTTGCTAGAAAGGATTTGCGTTTGTTTCTGCCAAACACTTTGGGAGCATTATTGACCTGAAACCACTTTAAATTCTGCTTGAGGTGTTTTGAATGACCTGGGTAAGTATGAATTCAGTCTGTAAACTACTGGCTTTTGGTTCCGTTTCTCAGGAAATGTTTTTTATTTTTTCCCCCCTTTCTTTACTCTTTTTATATTGATATATACACAGTTCCTTTTACACCTGGGTAGATTTTCCATTTGCCTCCACATTAGGGATTGTGTCTTTAGTGTTTTCTTCCGTGTTTCCTAAAAGGGATCTCCTCTTGGACTCTTCATCTTGAGCACTTTTTTCCTTCATAAAATAATAGTCTGTTTTACAATTGATGGCATCTTAGATTCAATGAAAGACAATATATATTATTATTGATGCAGAAGCACAGATTAGATTTCTGAAGGCCAAACTCCGTGTTATGCAGGAAGAATTGGATAATGTTGTCTGTGAATGCAATAAAAAGGTAAGTTTTTAAAACCTTTCAGAATAAATGCTCTTATATTCAAAGACATTTTGGGAGCAGTTTCAAATTTTATTTTAAAAATAGCTTCACTGAAGTATAATTCACAGTTAACTTTTACATTCAAAAATTGTGTATAAATACTGAACTTTGTTCTGAGATGTTGAATTTCCAGAGCTGAAGAGTTTTATGTTTGTTAGCAATTAGAATGCTCTATATTAGACTGAGATATGTAAGCTATTAATATTAAACAGAAATAAAACATCTGACTTCCATTTTTGAGACTGAAAATGGAGTGTAATTTATTTTTCTTTATGAAATGAGTATAAATATCTCATCAGAGATCATATAATGGAATATTACTCAGCCATAAAAAGGAACACATTTGAGTCAGTCCTAATGAGATGAACTTGGAGCTTACTGTACAGAATGAAGTAAGTCAGAAAGAGAAAAACAAATATTGTATATTAATGCACTAGAAAGATACTATTGATAACCTATTTGCAGGGCAGCAATGGAGATGCAGACATAGAGAACAGACTTGTGGACACTGTGGGAAGGAGGGAGGGGTGAATTGAAAGAGTAACACTGAAACATATACGTTACCACATGTAAAATAGATAGCCAGTTTGTTGTATGATGCAGGGAGCTCAAACCCAGATGCTCTGTTGTGACAACCAAAAGGTCTGGTATGGGATGGGAGGTGGGAAGGAGTTTCAAGAGAGAGGGGACATATGTATACCAATGGCTGATTCATGTTGATGTATAGCAGAAACTAACACATTATTGTAAAGCAATTATTCTCCAATTAAAAATAAATTACATCTCTTAAAGTACTTTTTAAAATAAAAAGATCATATGAAGCTACTTTGTGTTTTCAGCTTTATGATTTTTATTTTTGCTTTATGTTTTGATACAAAATCTTGTGTGTTTCTTCATATAATCTATAATTTCATAACTGTATAGGAGGATGAAATTCAGGATTTAAAGTCTCAACTGAAAAATTTTGAAGAAGATTGTGTGAGACAGCAGCGGACAATTAATTTGCAACAATCGCAAACAGAAAAGTTTAAAACTCTTTTTGAAGAAGCAAACAAAAAATGTGATGGATTACAGCAACAGTTGTCTTCAGTAGAAAGGGTAATAATTTTTCTATTTTTTCCTAATCTAATGCCAAAGATGCACAAAAACACAAAAGTCACATATTTGCTTAGACACCACTTTTCATGGTTCAGTTATTTTGTTAGTGTTTCCTAAAACCTCTTCCCCCGTTATTAGAACAGTATTTTTTAGTAGCATTGCTGAAATATAATTCACATATAATACGTGTTACCCTTTAAAGTATACAATTTGGTGGCTTTCAGAGTATTCAGAGTCGTGCAGCTGTCACCACTGTCAAGTCTGGGACATTTTCATCACCTGGAAAGTCACTCTGTACCCTTTAGCCATAGTACCTCAACCCACTTCACCCCATCCCCTCCAGCTCTAGGCAACCTCTCACTTATTTTCTGTCTTGATAGATTTGCCTGTTCTGGACATTTCTGGACAGGTAGACTTATACAGTATGTGATACTTCAAAACCAACATTTTTTGCTTAATGTTTTTTTCGTCTACATTGTAGCATGTTAGGACTCCATTGCTTTTTATAGAGTAATATTCCTTGTAATAGAGTATATGGATATAATACATTTTATCTATCTGTTTATCAGTTGATGGACATTTGGGTTATTTCTGTTTTGGAACTGTTTTGGATAATGCTGTACTATGAACATGCATATACAGGTTTTTGTGTGGATATATGTTTTTGTTGGGTATATGCCTAGGAGCGGAATTACTGGATTTATGTTTTGTCTGTTTGTTTTTTATTTTTTTTATTTTTGACTATGCTGTATCTTCATTGCTGCGTGCAGGCTTTCTCTAGTTGCAGCGACGGGGGGCTACTCTCTGTTGTGGTGTGCAGGCTTCTCATTTAGGTGGTTTCTCTTGTTGCGGAACACAGGCCCTAGCCCCATGGGCTTCAGTAGTTGTGGCATGCAGTCTTTTGGTTTCTAGAGAACAGGCTCAGTAGTTGTGGCTCACAGGCCTAGCTGCTCCACAGCATGTGGGATTCTCTCGGACCAGGGATTGAACCCGAGTCCCCTGCACTGGCAGGTGGATTCCCAACCACTGGACCACCAGGGAGGTCCCAGTCTTATGTTTAGCCTTTTGAGGAACTTCAGGCTGTTTTCCAAATCACCTATACCATTTTTACATTTCTACCAGCAGTGTATAAGGGTTCCAGTTTCACCACATCCTACAAGTACATGTTAGATTGGGGGTACCAATCCCCTGTGAATACTGAGGGGTGACTGTATACTGTTCTATGAGTTTTGACAAGGGCACTGTCAGATAACCATAGCCAAAACTGAGTTATATCCCCCAAAATTTCTCTGTGAATTTAGTCCTCTCCCTACTCCCAACCTTAGACAACCACTCGTCTGTTTTTGATTCTTATATTTCGGCCTTTTCTAGAATGTCATATAAAGAGAATTACATAGTAATCTTTGAATCTGATTTTTTAACTTAGCATAATGCATTTTTGATTCAACCATGTTATAATCTGTCCTTTTTTATTATTGCTTGTAACATAGAATGAATATACCACATTTTGTTTGTCTATTCATCTGGGAAGAAAAATTACTTATAGTGTCTCATAGTCTAAGTCTGTGCTTTTGAAAATGATAGCCACTCATGTGAGGCTAGTCCAAATTGTGTCATGCTGTGAGTATAAATCAGTGTCTAATTTTGAAGAGTACATACAAAGAAAGATGTAAAATCTCATTAATATTTTAATATTGGTTACATGTTGAATGGTAATACTTTGGGTATACTGGGATAAGTGAAATATAGTAATAAAATTAATTTTACCTATTTCTCCTGAAAGTGGCTATTAGAAAATGTAAAATTACATATGTAGTTTGTACTATATTTCTGTTGCTTTAAAAAATAAAGGGAAGTGGTCTAAGAAAGAACAAACTATTATATCTGGGAAACAACTGTGAGTTTACGATTTGTCATCAGGCATCCAAGCTGTGATCATGTCACTGCTCCAGTAGATGTAACTTGCCTAAATCTTTGATTCTTTTCTTGTTCTTGGCCCTCATACCCAATCCTGTGCTTTCTTGCTTCTAAATGTTTTTCATTCATCTCTTGTTTTCATTTCCCATTGTTACTTCTTGGTTCAAGCTATTATGTCTTATTTCTGAATCCTCTTCACTGGTTATTTTATGTCCTTTGTCTTTTCCCTGGTATCCTGTACCCTGTCAAAAGATTAATATTCTCAAAAGACCACATTAATTATAACTCTTTTATCTAGGCAGAAAAGGAACTAGTATTTTTTGAGTGCTGTCTGTCAGGTAAAACACACTGGGAAACTGAGTCTGAGAGGTTGAGCAAATTGTCTACGGTCAAACAGGAATGGCAGAACAGGATTCAAACTGTTTATTTGACTCTGAAAATCATGTAGACTCTTTCTCCAACCCCCAAATAAATGGACTTAAACACATTTCATTGTTTAGGGTTAAGTATTTGAAAATTTTATTTCATGGTGAACGTATAAAGACATTATGATACATTGGCTAGCTGAAGATTTTATGAAAACTTGCATTGACTCTGAACTTCCCAGCTTTAATTCCTATCTGCCTGTTGGCCAAACAGACAAAACATAGTTCTCCTGGGTTGTATGATACTCAAGATTGAATCTTTCTTTGTTAATTCTGTTCATTTTTTCTCTCTCTCAAATTAAGCCTCAGTGTACAGTTCAGAGAAATACAAAACAGAGCTTAAGTAGCTCCTTCTATAAACCTGGAAAAACCAACTATTAAAACATTGTTATAATGTTAACTTATTTTAGCTGTTGATTCTAACAGATGGAGTCATTCTTAAAATATAAAGTCAGAAACCATTTTACCCCATCTTTGGATTTTGTTTTTTTATTAATGATATGTTTACAAACCAACTCTATTGAGGAATAACTTAAACACAATATACTTGACTTAACTGTACAATTCATTGAATTTTAGCAAGTTAATACATCCTTGTAACCACCACCATGATTAAGATAAAATTTCTGTCACTCCCCCAAGTTTCCTTTGTCTCCTCCCACTAAATCCCCAGTCTCTCTAATCATGGCCCTAAGCAGCCACTGATTTGCATTCTTTTACTGCAGGTTCATTTTCCTTGTTATAAAATTTCATATAGATGGAAACTTAAGTATGTACTTTTTTGCACCTGTTTTCTTTAGCATGATGTTGTTGAGATTCATTAGTGTTGCTTGCTTTATGGTTCATTCTCATATATTTCTGAGTGGTATTCATTTATGGATTTACCACATTTCATCTGTTCACCAATTGATGGGAATTTGAGTTGTTTCCAGGTTTGGGCTATGAGAAGTAAAGCCACTATGAATCTACATGTACAAGTGCTGTGTGTAGATACATGTTTTTGTGTAAACATATTCAGTATCATTCATGATGTTGATGAAGTGCCTAGGAGTAGAACTTCTGGGTTTATGGAAAGTGCATGTTTAACTTTTTAAGAAACTGTCAAACTGTGTTCTACAGTGATTATACCATTTTTCATTCCCAGTAGCAATGTATGAGAGTCCTAGTTACTCTGTATTCTCTAACACTTGATACTATCAGTCTTTTTTAGTATCAGAAGATCAGAAGTAGTATCTCAGTATAGTTTCATTTGTATTTCCTTGCTAACTATTGATCGTGAGTACCTTTTCATAGGCTTATTGGCTATTCATGTTATCTTCTCTTCTTATGTATATGTTCAATTTTTTTGCCCAAATTAGAAACATTGGGTTTTATTAAGAGTTCTTAATGTTTTCTTATATAATTTCTTTGCTAGAAAGAATGTATTGTGAATAGTTTCTTGCAGTTTGAGTTGGCATTTAAATTTTTTAACAGTGTCTTTCAGAAGGTAGAATTTACAATTTTCATGAATTCTAATACATTTTTTGTGCTCTTTTTCATCCTAATTGAGAAATCTTTGCCCACCAATTTAATTACTGTAAGTAAGTCTATTTGGATTTTCCATTATTTTGGAATCAGTTTTGGTAATTTGTGTTTTTAAGAAACTTTTCCAGTGCTGAGTAGTAAAACTCATTGGTATAGATGTGTCCATATGTACATACTCAGTCACTCAGTTGTGTCCAACTCTTTGCGACCCCATGGACTATAGGCTGCCAGGCTCCTCTCTCGGTGGAATTTTCCAGGCAAGAATACTGGAGTAGGTTGCCATTTCTACAGGATCTTCCCAACCCAGGGATTAAACCTGTGTCTCTTGTGTCTTCTGCATTGGCAGGCGGATTCTTTACCACTGTACCGCCTGGGAAGCCCCAATCATTTATTATATTTTTACTTATATTTTTAATCTCTGTGATTATGACTTCTATTTCATTCTTGACACTAATAATTTATCTCTTCATGTTTTATTCTTAATTAGTGTAACTACATATTATCAAATTCACTGAATTTTTCAGTGAATCAGTGTTTGACTTTTGTTAATTTTTCTATTTTTACTATTTTTACTGTTTGTCAGTTTTCCACTATGTTGATTTCTAACCTTACCTGGTGGCCCATTGGTAAAGAATCCGTCTTCCCATGCAGGAGATGTGAGTTCAGTCCCTGGGTCAGGGACATCCTCTGGAGAAGGAAGTAGCAACCCACTCCAGTGTTCTTGCCAGAGAAATCCCATGGACAGAGGAGCCTGGAGTCCTATAGTCCTTGGGGTCACAAAAGAGTCAGACACGACTTAGTAACTAAACAACAACAAACTTTTCCATTTCCTTCATTCTTATTTGGGCTTAATTTGTTTGTATTTTTCAGGATTCTTAAAGCAAAAGCTTGCATAATTGATTTTCTGCTTTTGTCACATAAGAATTTAAAGCTGTAAATTTTCTTCTAAGTGCTGCTTTATCTGCATCCCACAGATTTTGATGCCTTTTAATTAAATTCAAAGTATTTTCTAATTTTCTGCCTGATATTTCTTGACAATTGAATTATTAAAAGTATGTGTTGTTTAATTTTAAATATTGAGTATTTTTCCTGTCTTTTTGTAAATTGATTTTTAATTGAATTCTGTGGTATATG